AAGATTCAAGATTCAAGATTCAAGATTCAAGATTCAAGATTTTGATCACTTGATATTCTTGATTCAGATTCAAAATTCTTGATCATCCGAGGAGACACAGCAACCTTGCGTCACGTGAGACGTGGGGCGTGGGACGCGGGACGCGGGACGTGGGACGCGCGCTTCGTCGCATGGACGGCTTAACCCATCATCGAAAATCAATCCTTCATGATTCAATTCAAAATTGTGATTAGAGTGTTCACGTAGCTGGCCTTTAAGATTCTTGATTATTCACGATTGACATTCACATTTTGATTTTGATGCAAGATCTGTTTGAAGAGTGATGTCATTCAAGATTCAAGTTTGCATCTTGAATTCGCCTTTTTGATCCACCACTCAGACTCAGACTCAAAACTCACGACTCAAGACTCTTGACTCAAGACTCTGACTGATTTTGGAGTTTGGAGTCGTGAGTCGAGTACAGACCGTTCCTTGACATTTGTGGTTCCATTTCACTTGCCTCCGTCCACTCGGCCTTCGCTCCATCGTGGTGTCGTGACTCGCTTGACAATCTCATGGGAACTCAATCAGCTGACAGCATACAGCATGCGGCATACCGCACACCGCACACCGCACACCGCATACAGCCACCATGTCACAGACCCCTCTGCACCTGGTCCGGACAGAGCTTGTCTCCGTCGATGCGACTAGCGCAGGACAAGACTTGAGCAACTGTTTGAAGCGACTGCCACCAAATGGAAGAGAAGCTGGTGACATTTGGACATGGATTGCCAAATGTCTCGATATCAGTGTCAGTGCGGGTGCGGGTGCGGCGGCGGGTGCGGCTGCGGGTGCCGGCAGCGTTGAAAACAGACCAGGGATGGAGGTCACAGCTCAAGGAGAAGCAAGAGCAGCAGCGAAGCCTCCAGCAGAAGCTACAGCCGCAGCGATGTCTGCAGGTTCATCCACATCCACATCTCTCACAGCAACAGCAAATGTGTCAACCAAGAAGCGAAAACTGGACGGGGAAGGAGTAGGAGAAGGCGAGGAAGGGACTGAAGCAGTAGCGGAAGTACGCGGGGCTCTGCTCCGCACCAGGCGCCTCGACGCAGCATTGGGCTGCACCGGCACCACGTCTACTACTACTACCCCCAGCACCACCACCACCACCACCACCACCACCACCACCACTACCGCCACCGCCACCACCACCACCAGCAGCAGCAGCAGCAGACGAAGCAAGCAGGATGTTCGCACAACACCTCCGGATGAGGCTAGCGAAGCAGCAAGCTCCCAGATGGCCGATACGACTGCTCGAAGGATCTTTGAACAGCTGTGGAGCACCATGAAGGGGAAGCATCACGATCGCTACTTGTCCCTCTCATTGACGCCGCAAGCTGAGGAGCAGTTGAGCACGTGCATGAGGGATGATCGGTTCGCAACGGAGCTCGAAGATTTGAGGCGCGCATGCAAGACGTCCAAGACAGAACACGATCTGGAAGAGAAGGTGGCGCATTTCCTCAATCAATCTGCCGAGATCTATCGCTTGCATAGTCCATCAGCAGCTTCAAATATCACCCAAATTCCCCAGCGCTCTGCTGTAGTCCAGAGTCGGACGAGTGTTGTAAGTCTGATTGGTTGACATCGCATCGCATCGCCTTACCAAAGCAGGTGTCCCGTGCTGCACCGCACCGCACCGACTCACTCTTCTCATCTCTTCTTTGCCCCCCTCCCCTCTCCTCCCTCCTCTCCCTTGCGATGCTTTCTCGCTCTGGGGAGCCCAAAGGCACTGCGACTCAGGCACAACTTCGAGAACGCAGTCAGCTCCAAGCCAGAGAATTCCATCAAACCGGACATTAGCATTGGTGATTGCACCACCAACAAGCGCTGCAATTGGAATCAGATTCTCACTGTTGTCGAGGTGAAGCTAGCAAGTGGCGACGACGGTAAAGTCGAGATTATGGGTCAGATCGCGGGCTACGCGGTAAGTCGTCTCCTGTTGCGCTGCGCTTCCCCGGTCAAGATGAAAAGAAGCATGCCAAACACTCATCCTCTGACTGTCCGCCCGCTCGCCTGCTCCATCTCCTGCGCTGCAGCGCATGCTCTTCTCTGCCCATCCCATCGCCCGTCACGTTCACATCCTCACGTGGTGTGGCCCCATAGTCCGACTGTGGCGATTCGAAGCCAACCGGTATGCCGTCACGCGGGGATTGTCCATCCATCACGATGGTGACCTTGCCGACATCCTCAGAGTTGTTCTGCTATGTTTGGCAGATCAACATTTGCTGCCAACTTGGAATCCACCCAGATCCAGCACTCTGAAGCTCACACACCCAAAGGGCAATACGCAGACTCGCGAATTGGTGTTGAACGATGCCGCACCCGCAGAGGCACTTGTTAGACCGGCAGTCCTTGGATCTAGAACCGTCATCTTTCTATATCCCTCTACTGCTGTGCAGAGCATTTCCTCGATGACACTAGGTGGACAGTCGCGACTCTTCGATGGCGATAAGCGACTCTTTGTCAAGGCGTCGTGGCGCCCTGATCGCCTGGTAGGGCACGAGCTCAACATGCTGCAACTCATACAAGACGGTCTCATAAAGCTCAGGGAAGAGAAAAACGATTGCTGGAGAGATGTCGACGCTCCGGCTCCGTTGGGTGCGATGACGGAAGATGTGGACTGGACCACGTGGGCAGACTCTTCTGGTAACAAGCTGAGCCTCGATGTGCTGGCTTTTGTCCAGCACAAGGGCCAGCCCATCCAGCAAGACACTAGTGAAGCGGATCTTGCGCAAGTATTTGGCCAGCTGGTCCGGCAGCTCGCAGCCTATGCTCAAATTGGCTTGCATTACCGTGACCTCAACCAGGGCAACATCCTGATGCTTCCGGGCGCCGAAGGACGCCTCGCTAGGCTTGTCCTTGCCGATCATGGCAACATGCGCATTGGCACTGCCCGCCTGCGTGGACCAGACTCGCTTTGCCGAAAGAGGAACGAAGACGAATGGATGGAATTGGCGGAAGACGATGCTCGTTCAGCCAACCATCTTTTCCTCCCACTCTGTGCTTTGGACAACGCGAACCATGCGCGAGCATATCGTAGTTGCCAAGAGTGTCTGCCCGAGCTGGAAGCAGCGGAGCGCGAGGCGGAGATGAGCGGGAGCGATCGCAGAATGGAGTTGGCTGCGGGCAAATTAGCCCAAGCACGTGCGCTCCTCAAGATGGCGCGCAAACAAGCTTTCCTTCGATGCCATCGCTACATCGATGATCTGGAGTCGCTCCTGTACCTATACTTGTACACGGTAAGTCCTGTTAGAGCCTCATTACCATCGCCCACGCTGAGAATGGGCAGCCAACATTCCTCCTTGTGGCCACAGATTTCGAGACGGCACACACCGACCCATGACAGGATCAAGCAGCAATTGTCCGACAAGGATCAGAAGGCGAATCTTTTCGGCCCGAATTGGCCCATGGTGCGTCACCTCTCGTGCATCCAGAGATTTGACACCATCGCGTCTGAACGGCATCGTCGCACTCTTACAGGTGAAAATAGAATTGAAGGATATTCTCAAAGTGTCCTCCACTTTCACTGACTGCATTGACGATGTGCATTTCTTCGTGAAGCGTACTCAGGAGAAGATGCAGTCCGTGCTTGAGGAGCACTTCAAGAAACACCTGGCCAATGACGATTCTGCCATACCTGAATTGAAGGTTGACCAAGCGGAATTGGATTTGTTTCAGGATGTGGCCATGGCATTCGAGCGAGTAGTGCAAGAGCACGGCAAGGCGAGTCAAATGTCTTGTCTCGCTGTCGCACCTTTGAGTGTTGGAACTGACAAAAACAGTTTTGCTCGCCCTTTTCAGTCTCTTGAAAGGATCACTCAGGCCCTCTAGATCGGCCTCTGGTTTTGCCTCTTGCCCACTGCACCGTATGTCCAGCGCTAGCAAAGGTATGCTGTTAAGGGGGCAGTCTATATCAGCTGCGTGTGTGATGGCAGGGGGGACCTTTGATGTACGCTGTTCCTCCTTCCACGGCGCCCCCCAGTGCCGGAGTTTTTGGACATTCTCATGTTTGTGCGCACAGTCTCTTCTTTCGCTCTTTCCCCGCTTTGTCATGACGAGGCCAACGTTGATCACCTCTATCACTCCTGCACATGTACGATATCACAAGTCATCACTCCCGTCATCCAATGGACATTCAAAGCCCGTGTTTCACATTCAAGATTGCGTCCAATCGTGTATCGTACACGTGACTATGCGTGGTGGGTGGGGAAGGGACCCACGTTGCGTCTTTGTCACCTGGGATTGTGCTGGGAATTGTGAGCTGTGATGAACTTTCTCGGCATTCACGGTCAGAAGAGTGTGAGTGCTGGCCACTTGTAATCTGAATCACAAATCTGAACGAGTTGATTGCCCTTGCGAAACGGCGATGAAATAGCGCGTGCAAGTCTTGAATCTGAATCGAGCGATTCTCCACTCACGACTCCCGACTCTGATGACTCGCGCGCAACCTCGCTCACGCCCCCGAGTCTGCCCCCAGCACGAATTTTTGCAGCCAACCAGGAGCAGCGGATTTGGCGGGGAGTTTGGATCGAGTTGTATGTGGCAGGATCGGCCGATGAGCTCCGACGCGGCCGGTCTGCATTTTCTAGCGCGTGCGCGCGCGGGCAGCCATGCAGGAAAGCGACGGCAGCAGCAGTCAGCGCGGATGATGTAGAGGCGAGTCATGAGCCAAGCCATGCCATGCGTAGTGACGAGTTGAGTCGACGGACTGACTGACTTTGCTCACGATTCGCGCATTCACGCTTCGAGCTTCAAATCGCCAGCATCACATCATCGATTCTCCCCCACACTCACACTCACTACCACCAACCCATCCATCCATTCGCGCAGCCGTCAACGCGCATTACACTCATCGCAACACCGCGCATACAAGCCAAGCCTAGATCGCAGGAGTGATTGGATCGTCAGACGAGCAAGCAAACAAGATGGCCGCTGCGCCTCGAACCATCTACGACAAGTGCTTCGACGCTCACGTAGCTCACAAGACGGAGGATGGCACAGTCATCCTCTACATCGACCGCCACGTGAGTGACTGGTGGTGGCGGTGGAGGTAGCAGCGTCAGCTGACTCGAGCTGCACATCGTCCAAATCAATCCCAAACAGCTGGTGCACGAGGTGACCTCTCCTCAAGGTGAGCATGCATTGGCGTCTGCGAGAGAGGAGAGCAGCTGCTCAACGTGACATCACCTCTCCCCTTCCCCTCGCTCTTCCCACACACGCTCAGCGTTCGAGGGCTTGAGGAATGCCGGTCGAAAAGTTCGTCGACCAGACTGCACCTTGGCCACCGTCGATCACAACATTCCCACCGTCTCGCGCAAGTCGTACAAGGACAGCAAGACGTTCGTCGAGGAAGCCGACTCTCGCACCCAAGTAGTAACGCTCGAGGACAATGTCAAGGAGTTTGGTCTCACCTTTTTCGGTCTCTCAGACGCCAGGCAAGGCATCGTGCACATCATCGGTCCAGAGCAAGGCTTCACCCTGCCTGGTGCCACCATTGTGTGCGGAGATTCTCACACTTCCACACACGGTGCCTTTGGCGCCCTTGCTTTCGGCATCGGAACATCCGAGGTGGAACATGTGCTCGCTACGCAAACCATCCTGCAGAAAAAGGCAAAGAACATGCGCGTTCAGGTCGAGGGCCAGCTGGGTCCAGGCGTCAACTCCAAGGACATTATCCTACACGTCATCGGCATCATTGGCACTGCAGGTGGTACGGGTGCTGTCATCGAATTCTGCGGCTCCACCATCCGCAGCCTGAGCATGGAGGCACGCATGTCCATCTGCAACATGTCCATCGAGGCAGGCGCCAGAGCGGGCATCATCGCCCCCGACGACACCACGTACGAGTACATCAAAGGTAGACCCTTGGCTCCAAAGCAAGGTCCAGAGTGGGATGCCGCTGTGGCTTACTGGAGGTCGCTGCCATCCGATGAGGGCGCTCACTACGACATTGACGTGCAGGTCAAAGCAGCGGATATCCCCCCTACCGTCACTTGGGGAACCAGCCCTCAAGATGTGGCTCCCATCACTGGCAGCGTACCGGATCCCAAAAATGCCAAAAATGAGACTCAAGCTAAAGCCTGGACTCGTGCTCTCGAATACATGGGTCTCGAAGCAAACACTCCGCTGGACAAGATCAAGATCGACAAGGTATTCATCGGCTCTTGCACCAATTCTCGCATCGAGGATCTTCGACAAGCGGCTTCCATTCTGCACGGCAAGAAAGTGGCCGATGGACTGTACTGCATGCTGGTGCCCGGCTCAGGGTTGGTCAAGAAGCAAGCTGAAGCAGAAGGCCTAGACAAGATCTTCCAAGCGGCAGGCTTCGATTGGAGAGAAGCTGGCTGCTCGATGTGTCTCGGCATGAACCCCGATCAGCTGCAGCCCGGGGAGAGGTGCGCCTCCACTTCCAACCGCAATTTCGAAGGCAGGCAGGGCGCTGGTGGAAGGACGCACCTGATGAGTCCTGCGATGGCTGCTGCGGCTGCCATCACCGGCTACCTCACAGACGTTCGAAAGCTCACAAATGGCACGCGCGTCGGAGAGGATGCCTCTAAGCCGGAATACAATGTTCAGATAACAGATGCAAAGAGCTACTTGACCGACAAGCCCCTTCCTCCACCTGCTCCCCTCAAGAGGGTGCCCGCCGATACGGATGAGGATGCCATCAGAGATGTGCCCGCCTCCCAGACTGCTACCGCAGGTGGCGGAATGCAAAAGTTTACAGTCGTCAAGGGTATTGCTGCCCCCATCGACCGCGCGAATGTGGACACTGACCTGATCATTCCCAAGCAGGTGAGTATGAAGCGTTGACGAGAAGCGCATTGAATGCGGCTAAATGTCGCCCTTTTGTGTCTTGTGCTCGTGTCGCAGTTCCTAAAGACGATCAAGCGCTCGGGTTTGGGCTCCGCCTTTTTCTGGCCCGCCAGGTACGACGTCAAGACGGGCGAACCTTTGGCCGACTTTGTGCTCAATCAAGCACCTTTCAACAAAGCGCAGATTCTGGTGGCGTGGGAGAATTGGGGTTGTGAGTGCGCATGCTATGCATGAAGATGAGCTTTGGACTGACGTGTCGTCATCTCTCCGCAATCACAGGCGGATCATCGAGAGAACACGCTGCGTGGGCCATGCTCGACTTTGGTATCCGGGCCGTCATCGCGCCAAGCGTCGCCGATATCCACAAGACCAACCTGGCCAAAAACGGTATCGTGGCGGCGATCCTGAAGCCCGAAGAGGTCAAGGAGGTGATGGAAGCAGCAAAAGCGAAGCAAGAGGTGATTGTGGACCTTGAACAGAACCAGGTGATTCTTCCTGAATCTTCCAACAAGGCTTTCGAGTTCCACGTCGACTCCTTCACGAGGCACTGCCTGCTTAATGGACTGGACGACATTGATTTGACCATGGAGAAAGAGAACTTTATCAAGAGCTTTGAGCAGGAAAGGACCAAGGACACGCCGTGGCTCGATGGATTCGGATACGAAGCTACGGGAGCTGCGACAAAGCTTCAACCCGTTGTCGATGCTGCCAAGAGCGCCGCCAAGAAGGTGACTGGCACCGATTGGTAGAGGAATGTCGGTCGACTCTTCGTTCGCCTGACTCTTGCATTGCGAAATTAAGGTCCTTGGCCTCTTTTTCCCCCCTCTAAAAGAAAGATTCGCCCTCTGACTGCGAATGTCATCCGTCATCTACGTGTGCGCACGCTCATGCGCTTGGCTGAGCGTGAAAGTGAAAGAAGCGTGACTTGTGTCTGCCATCACGTACATGACGTTCACGTGATTTGTGCTTGCAGCCCTGCGCACTCAAGATCCTAAGCAGTCATTGAGTGTAGAATGCTTCTTTAGGTCTAGCGCAGCACAATCGCAACGCAAGAATGCGGTGCGTGCCTCTGCCCCTAACTCTAACTCTATCGCTCTGAAGGAAGGTATTCAGGTGTGCGGTCAGGCAGCGATGGGGCACGCGGTCCCGTTCGTGATGATTCTCTCAGACTCAGAACTGTGAGTGAGTGAGATCGACTTTGCTGAAATTCAATCAAAACGTGAATGCTTTGATTCTGGTAGCGGCGCACGAGAGTCAGAGTGAAAGTTCTCTACAGTCACGAGTGGCTGCGTGCGTGCTGTGCTGCACGCACTCGCGCGTGTTTACCGCGGGCCACGACGCGTCGCGTGGCACTTTGTGCTTGGCCGCGCATGGACACGGATGCAGCAGGCGATGGACAACAGCGAGCGGGTCAATCAGGAAACACAGTCGACGCGATCAGCAAGGGACGGAGATGACAGAGGCGAGGTTTGTGGTTCATCTCGTATTCTGCCTCGATCTTCTTCCTTCTGACTCTCACACGGCCTCACCATCTACTTCACCTCCAGCCAGAGGGCTGCGCCAGACTGGGTATCTGAGGTGTTACGTAGCAATTGCAACATTCGCTCCATCACCAAGCGTCAGCTTAGCATCTCTTCCGTCCAGACACGGAGAGTTTGCTTCTCCACCGTTGGCTCCGCCGTCCTCGCGCTCCTAGCATATACGCAACGCAACGAGCCATCCTTCGACTGGAGTCTTTGTGCCTGTCATGCCGGTCCTTGCATCGCCAGCGCTCACTTTTCGAGATGCCGACAAGCCTGGCGATGCGAGCTCGAGCTCGAGCGGTCAACGAGGAGGCATCTTCGCCGTAGAAGGCGTGCCACTGCGCATACACATTCCGCGCAACATGGAAGCGGCACAGAGGTCGCGCTTGGCAAGCCTGGTGAAGCGTAATGGTGGCAGGGTAGAGCAAGGATTGGACGGGTGTCGAGTGGCCATCTTTGACTTGGAACAGCCCGTCAAGGCTCGACAGACGCTCCACGCCGCCCAGGCTTACACCCCGCCCATTCAAGTCGTCGCGCCAGCTTGGATCGAGGAGTGCGTCGAGGCGAAAAAATTGCTGGATGTGGCTGATGGAGCGTACAACCCCATCGCCATCATGGAACGCAAGCGGATTCGACTGGAAAAGATCGAGGCGAAAAGGGAGGCTGAGATGGCCTTGGAGCAGAGGAACGGCAGCATCGCACACAATGAACGGTCGAGCTCACATGCGGTCAACATCGGCACTGGCCAGTCTGTGCACAAGAAGAGGCCTATCGTTGGGTGAGCACAGAGAGAGCAGCATGCATGCGCCAGCATTCGTGCTATTGACTTTGCTCCTTGCACGCCGCTGTCCCTTAGCCGAGCTCCCTACACTCGCGACGACCGATCGAAAATCATCGAGCATCTGTTGGTGACGCACGAAAAGTGGGGCGGTCTGCAAGTGTGCATAGAGTTGGAGAACAAGTACGGAGGGCACTCCTCAGCTTCCTATCAGACACACTTGAGGGACAATTTGTTCAGGAACAACAATTACGCCGGTTCGGTATACAAGCTCTACACTTCTTCCGAAGAAGCCAGACAGCGAGCAGGACCGGAAGCGAGGTCGAGGGCAGAGACGGTGATGAAGACGCACGGTTTGTCTAGCACGTCTTCTGCAAGGCAAGCTGATAGCGGTCATGTTCGTGGCGTCTTGCAGCCTCCTTCTAGCGCTGCCGATGAAGAAGACGAGATTGTGCAGTCGACTCAACCGACGCAGCCATCTCCAGCGCGAACAAGAGCCGCGCAAGCGTCAGAAACGGCAAATGAGCGACTTGCGCTGGTCGAGCAAGCTAATGCGCAACAGTCTCCACTGCAAGCGCAACCTCATGCCGCTGAACAATCGGGATCGAGTCGCGCCGAACTTGCTGCCGCCGCCGCCCCTGCCAGATTCACCGAATCGGAGAAAAAATACTTGGTGGAACGGCTAGCAGCTCTTTTCGTTGGTGAATTGCAGGGCAGCGGCGGTCTGGATCTCGACGAAGCAGAGCGAGCAGAATTGCCTTCCCTCAAACCTCCTGCAAGGCTCTGGACGGAGCTTCATGAACAGGTGAGCATGCTGTGAGCTGTCAGCGTAGCCAAATCGACAGCAGCAAAAGACTTACTGCGCACTCGACTTGTCGTTTCTCGGGCCGCACGCAGTTTCCAGCGCATTCGGTCCACGAGTGGCGAGCACATCACGACAAGAACGGAGCGCACTACAGGTCTGCGGCGACTGAGACCCTAATCTTTCAGGCGACCCAATTCCAGACGGCGCCTTCTGGTAGCACCGACGAGGAAGAGGAGGACGAGCAGGGGATGGAGGAAGCGGAGGAGGAGAATGAAGAGGAGGAGGGGCGTCAGGGAGACGAGGAGCAGAAGCATGAAGATGAGGACGAAGATGAAGAAATCGACCAGCTGCGCAGTCAGAGCAGTCCCAGCAAAAGCCAAGAGAAAGCGCGGACGATCACAGAGCCGGGGCAGATTCGCAACAATGTAATCGAAAAGCAGCAGGCAACGTCGTCCTCTCTAGCGGCTGCCGAAGACGAGGCGCTGGTGTCTGAGCAGCTGGGTCCTGTTGTTGAGATTTCCTCTACATCACTGCTTCACTCAGATCGGGATCCTGAATCGCAGCTGCAGGACTACGAAGCCGGATCTAGGGTACCCGATACATCGCAGCGAGCTGTGCACCATCGAGCCAAAGCATCGATGCGAGACGAAGCCTCGGCCGAGAATCAGGTCCCGAATTTCTTGGCTGGGATAACCTCCCCTACACCTACCCAGGGCAAGACGAACATGTTGCCGACCAGCTCACCACAAGTAGCCGTGATGATGCCGGCTATCACGGCTACACCCAAGGAGCTATCTGGCCGGACGTACGCTAGCATTGCGGTCGGTCCTAGCCAGCCCCTGCGCCTGGAGGATAGCGATGAGATCGCCGCTCGTGCCGCTAGGGTGCCAAGACGGAGCGTACCAGCTGTACTAGTGGAGGCGCAGACGGCGTCTACTTCGCGAGCACCTCGACAGCCTCGACATACGACGGCGACAGGTGCGCAGGAAGCGAAAGCAGGATCTTCCGTGTTGCCTAGGCGCGCCGCGATGCGTGACGATGGCCTTTTGGTGCATACGCCGATTCAGGAGGAGCAAAGAGCGCCACACACCGCTGCTTTGATCAAGAAGAGAAAGTTGGCCCGGACAGAAGAAGATGATGGCGGTCGCGAGGGCGCCATTAGCCCAGAGAAGAGGCAAGAGGTGGAAGAGTGGAGGGAGAGATCATCTGCGGAGCTTTCGCGATCCGCATCGGAAGAGTCTCCAAGAGCGGAAAGACGCGCGAAGCGCAGAAGAGGTCCGGAGGAGGAGAAGGAGGAGGCGGAAGCTCGAGCAGAATTCATGAGGGAGGTGCAAGCGTTCAAGAAGGATTACGCCTTCGAGATGATTGCGCAGGTCATGCCTGTCTTGGGCGACGAGTGCGATGTGAACAAGGCGCGGGGCAGGATGGAGAGAAGGATTGCGAGATGGAGCAACGAGTATGGGATTGGCAGGAGAGACATTTTGATCCTGATCAAGCAGGCAAAGGGTAACTTGCGGCTGGCCGAGGAGCTGATGGCGCAGTGATGCGGTCCGTCGATGTTTTCGCTCAGTAACGCCCAAGTGGTAGCGGGCTGGCACATGGAAATGAAGGCGATGCTTACTCTCGCACCGCGTCGACTAGAACTCTTGTTGTACGTGTACCGGTAGCCACACTCTTCATTCATGCGAAGCGACTCGCCGAGCGGGCACGAGCCGTGCAGCAGCGAACAGCACGCATGTACAATCACAGTCACAGTCGTGAGGGGGTCACATCGTCTCGTCGTGGCGCCGTCCTTGTGCAATCGATCTGCAGCAGCACGAATACGGGCCAGTGAAGAGTGCAGTCGCGGTATGAAGAAGGAGTAAATGACAAAGTGACACCGACGCCTCCGCCTCCGCCCCGGCGCCGGCCCGATGGCGTTGTGATGAAAGTCGGTGAGGGGCAAGGTGATGGGAGGTGACGTGGAAGGGGACGCTGGCTGGTTGGCTGCGTGCGAGCGTGCCTGCCTCGCGTGCCTGCAACAACAACCGATCGAGCAAGGCGGTGCGGTGCGGTCCCATCTGCCCGCGCACGATTTGACTTGATTGTGAGTCGCCTTGATCGATCGTCCGTGCATCTGCGAAATCGCGGGTCCATGTGCATTTGCATTTGCATTTGCATTTGCATTTGCATTTGCTGGTCGCATTTCCCAACTTTACCGCTCGTGCCTGCACATCCACCACCACCACCATCGCATCCTTTCAGAAGCGCCAAAGCTAAGTGCATGTATTCACTTGCATTCAACACACGCATTTGCACAAAGCGCACGAGCGGCTGCGACTTGTCTCTCGAGTGGGCAGCTTGCGACAGAGGCGATCGATGGGCATCCACGATTGCTTAGCAGCCAGCCAGCCAGCCAGCCAGCCAGCCGCACAGCCGCACAGCCCTGCCACATCACTCCATCCACCGCGCCCCATCTTGCCTTCTCCCAACACCCCCAGCACGGCGCACTCAGCCCAGCCTTGCATTACGCTCACAGGGCAGCCCAACATGTCATCCTCCTCCTCCTTCTCCTCGGCCCCCTCGGTCAACAAGAAATCATCGTCCATCAAGCGCATCCTATCCGAAGCGCGAGAGATGTGCAGCGATGCGTCGACCGAGTACACTGCGGCGCCATTGGAGGACAATCTGTTCGAGTGGCACTTTACATTGAGGGGAGCGCGAGGCACAGAGTTCGAGCAAGGCATCTATCACGGACGAATCATTCTTCCGGTAGAGTATCCCTTCAGACCTCCAAGCGTCATCCTGCTCACACCCAATGGTCGCTGGGAGACGGGCAAAAAGATCTGCTTGACGTTTACAGGTTTCCACGAAGAGTGTTGGGCGCCTGCTTGGGGCATCAGAACTGCCTTGTTGGGCGTGCAAGCATTCATGAATGCCAAGAAGGAGGCGGCGGTGGGTGTGGGCGCGTTGGATGTGGATGGTCAAGAGAGGGAGAGAATGGCAAAGGCTTCGAGGGATTGGACTTGTCACGTCTGCGCAAAGAAGAATGCGGAGCTGCTGCCAGAGACGAGAGAGGAGGATAGAAAGGTGGAATGTCTGCCAGAAGGTTTACACGTTCGAGAGGAAGCGCCGCCGCCAGCAAAGCAACAGCAAGAGGAGGGCGAGGAGGAGGAGGAGGAGGAGCGTAGCACGAATGCTTCTACGCTGCAAGTGAATAAGCAGTCGCAAGTCGTAGCTGAGCCAACAGAGGCAGGTACAGCCGCAGCTGCAGACCAGCAGACCGACTCACCTCCCATGCACGCTCTGGCAAATCAAGAATCACCCACGATGATATCATCCACTGTCGTCCAAGACCAACTTCGACTCAGTCGCACGGAGATGGACCGCGCTGCAGCGAATAGAGCGGCGAGCTCTGCCTCTGACTCACCGACGCTCACTCGTCGTCGAGAAGCGCGCGTCGATACGGCACCCGCATCGCACGCCACAGATGCTGCGCAGCGCAACGTCGGAGAAGCAACGTTGATTTGGGGAGCATCAGGAGAAGCGACGGTAGTGGAAGCTGGAACAGCAGCGGTAGATCCGGCAGCTCGCGAGCCCGTACCAGCACCGCGAACACCGTCTCCTTCAGAAGCTAGAGTGGCTCAGCTGGACAGGGCCATCGGTTTCGTCTGCCTTTTGCTAGCTGGGCTCCTAGTGAGGAGGATCTTCTGAGTTGGACCTCCTCGCCCTCTCAGCGCATCGCCAACTCCCTGCTCGACTTGACTTCCTGAGGGTAGCTACGTGTCGCGATGACCGGCAAAGGGCGCGCAAGGAAGATGACAATCTGACACGTGTGTGATGCAGCCGGCTACACATCGACTACGCCCTGGGCTCCTCATCAGATCGGACCTGACAGAATGGAGAGCGGATTTTTTTCTCCTTTACGCGAGGCGCGATGTCCGAGGAAAAGAGGCGCAAGGGTCAAAAGGCAGCTCCTGCCAGCTCGCGCCAAGCGGGAGAATCTCCCCATTTCTGACGTCCAATCCACAACACAGCGAGCAGAAGCAGCAACTCCCAAGAAAGCTCGTCACTCGACTCGAACCGAAACTATCGCTGATGCACGCTCGACACTCTGCACACGATTCAGCACGGCTCGAACTCAGCTACGCTTCGCTCCTGCTATCCTGCTTCCCAGTCGCCATGCCTCCGTGTCCGCCCGCCAAGCGGACTCCACCTGTCGAGCCTCGAGTCGTTCCATGTCTTCCCGACCTCTTCGATCCATCCATCCATCCATCCATCCATCCCATCTGTCCAACCATGCCATACATCTCTCAAACCCCAATCCATCTCAGTCTCCACGTGTAACTTTCGTGTACTCTTTTCCCTTCAGATAGCCATCTCGAGCCAAAGCGCCAAAGAGACCTCGATGCAGAATCCTCAGAATCGCGAATTGGATCGACTGGTTGCTTGCCCCGTGCGCTTTCTACCCGTTGCCTGCGCTTGCGTCCTTCTCGCTGTCTGTTCAGCTCAGCCAACAAGTGCGAAGAAAGGCCCCAAAGAATTTCCCCCCGCCCGCTCAAACTCCCGGGGCGCCTCGCTCGGCTTGTTGTGCGCCTCTCGCATGTCGAGAAAGAAGAAGAAGAAAAAAGGCCCAAAGATTGGGAAAAAGAAAAAGAAAAGAAAGCATCGCCTTGCCTTGCCTTGCCTTACCTTGCCTTGCCTTGCTTCCCCGTCGCCCTTCACCTAGGGGAACATACAAGGAACGTCACAAATTGCGAAGGGAAAAGGCAAGAGGGGGGGG